AGGGAGGAGGAGGAGGAGGAGGAGGAGGAGGAGGAGGAGGGAGGAGGAGGAGGGAGGAGGAGGGAGGAGGAGGAGGAGGAGGAGGAGGAGCAGGAGGAGCAGGAGGAGGACGGGTCGCCTAAGCCCTTCGGAGAAACCCTCCAGGGGAGCCCCCCCCGCCTCCTCGCCTCCCCCCCCGGGCTGCCGCCCACGCCTCCTCGCCCTCTGGCGCCGGCGGCAGCGGGCTGGGGGTCTCGGCGCCCGCGAGCACGGCCTGCTCCTGAGGCGGGGCGGGGCCGAGCCGGCTCTCCAGGGCCCGGAGGCCCTCTGCGGCCCCTTGCTCGGCGGCGCTCACAAGGGGGTGGAGGGAGGGGGGAGGGCTTCTTAGAAGGAGGCTGCTTCGTAGAAGGCGCCGGCCTTCCATTCATAGAGAAGGCCCGCGCCTTCTGAGAAGCAGGGGTGCTTCAAAGAAGCCCTCCCCGCCCGGCCGCGCGCGGCGTCACCAGGGAGGTTTACAGTGGAGGAGCGCCGAGGGACGCCGGCAGCAGCGTGCAAACGAGCAGGGCAGGCAAGCAAAGAGAGACGACGACGGGTCCGTTCCAGCTTCGAGCCTTTCCTGCAAAACTCGCACCTCCATATACTACGATGGGGGACCTGGGGGAAAACATGGCGCAAGTGCGCCGAGACCTCCTTGGGCTCCGAGGGGGCCGTGGCGTGCCGTGGGCGCCGACAGGCTTTCCTGCGTGGTCGGGTGTCGACACGCTGCTCACCAAAGAAGAGCCCAAGAGCGGTCGTACCCCATCGAAGGAGGCGAGAGTAGTACTTCTGGCCCAGCCTCATAGCTTTGACCTGAGCTTTGGGGATGGAGTGGAGGTCCCTGCCGTTGCGAGCAGCAAGGTCAGCCCACCGATTGCCGCGGGCATCGGCGCTCTGACCCTGCTGATGTCCTTTAACAAAGGCAACTCGAACAACAGACCCCGCCTCGCCCAGGTCGGAAATCTTGGTCCATATGCGTTCCCACAAGTCGACGTTTAAACGCCGAGGTGCGCAACGCCAACGAGCTCCAAGGGCAAGGCCATCGACCAGACATTTGAAGTCGGTGTGCACACACACAGGGGGAAGGCAAACCTGGAGAACCTGAAGGAAAGCGTAAAGCTCGGCCCTGGGCGAGGACTGTATGGGGCCTGGGGGAGCCCCATAAACAAGAATGTCTACCCAGGCGGCGGCTCACTCAATTGGCAGAATCCCCATCCCGCTCGTGTGGCCTCAGGCCAGTACCACATGCGCTGACGCGCCCCATCCGTGTAAATGTTGCCAGTGATGCCTTGCAGATCGCCGTATTGGATGTGCCAGTGCCCAGTGCAGCCCCGTGGTGGTAAAGGAGGGAAGCAAGAGCGAGAAACGAGCCCTGACGACCACAGCATGGAGTCACGCACTTGCATGGGAAACCCATCCGTGCAAATGTGAGACATGTACTGTTGGCGATGTGCATCAAGAGACGAACACTCATGTACAATATCATATAGATCATATGGAGATGCCCCACATCGTGGACATGAGTCGGTGTCCCTGTAGTAACACTTCGCAAGCGTGACGGGCTCCAAAGGCCACCTCCCAGATACGCACGCAGGAGGCCGGCTTCCTTAAGGGAGGGCTTCCACTTGGTGGCAAACGGGTTGTAAGGGGGCCATGGTCGGACGCTCGTCATCATCGTGATCGTCGGGCTCGTCGTCAGACCCCGAATCGTCGTCATCAGGTATGTCGACCTGGGAGAGGATCTGCAAGATTGTGTCGATCCAATAGCCAATGGGCCCCCGAGGGATAACATCATGCCCTGGAAGCGGAGACCGTTGGGCCCACTTCTCCCAGAGGCGCCGAACCCCTGCATCTCTAGCAAGTTGACGGATGGTGGACGGCGCCTCATCTCGGACGTTGATTCTGACCCCTTGATCGGCCGCCGAATGGTACTGCTGACGGTGGCCCAACCGAGCTCTCGTAATGCAAGCACTGTAGCGCCCGCGGGGCCCGATACATGCCGCCACGGGTGCGAGGAGTGGTAGATCTTCTGGATCTGGCGAAGCCATGCCGATTGTAAGATACGGTGGGGCACCCGCGGGTCACGAAAGAGGAGGGCCCACTGATACAGTGGCGCGGCCCAGGCCTCCACCTGGGGGTCCGTGTATGCCGAGCCCTGCAGGCATGACGTGAGCCAGCACGATGTACTGGGGCCTGGGGCATGCAATACACCTCGCTGGGCCGTTCGCATTTGTTCCACGAGTCGAGGGGGGGCTCCATGGACGCCTAGGCCGTAGGTCAAGGCCGGTGGGAGCGCCTGCTTGTGGAATCGGCTGAGGGGGGGACCAGCTCTGCGTAAAGAGACGAAGCGTGGACGACGGCTGGCAACACCCCTCACACGTTGTCGCAGCCTCCTGTAGCGAACAGGGCGACCCGAGACTTCGATCCCAAGAACTTCCACTGCATCCTCGTACACGCACCCAAGATCCCGAAGCCGATATGCCACATGTTTGCCCAGCGCAGGGATGGAGCTAGTGAGTTTCATCTTGTGGGCAGCTGGGGGTAGTCCTAGAGCCTTGAGTACTTGCGCCAAAAGCCGAAGAACCCGCTGAGACCAGGGGCCGATGTGCCGTAGCATGCCATATATGTGAACCGTAATGTCATCCGCATATACGTCAAGGCTCCGTGGGATGTCCATGGTGCAGTGCGTGAGATGATCGAAGGGAGCTAGCATGATGCACTGAAGCGCAACCATGCCATCGCACATCCTGGTAAAACACCGCACTGCGCATATACTACATCTGAGTCGCAGTTGTCCCACGCCAGGCGTCGGCTACACATGTAGACCCTAAAGGCGAGGAGGAGCATGGGGCCTGGGAAGCCTTGTTGGACACCCGCGCGCAACAGCAACAGCCAGGGTACTTTATCAAAACACTTGGCTATGTCTACAATCGCGTGCACGGATGCCTGGGATTCTGGCTGCAAGTGCACACCTGCCTCAGCCGTGACCATCACACGAGCTGCAACATCCGTCGTGGATCTTTGTGAGCCCAGCGCGAGGTATGGGCGATCTAGGCGCGACGCCCAGGCCCGCGCCCAGGTTAGTCGGGCATGGGCCCACGCGCGGTAGATGGAGGGCAACAGCGCAATCGGCCGATACCCGCCTGTCGGCTTGCCCAATAGGATAATATGTACATGCCTAATAACCGTGGGCCATGTCCCAAAGACCTCGCAGAGATGCTATAGGTATCCCAAGACCGCCAGAGCCCCGTTGGAGGCCAACGACCAGTGACGAGGTCTAAACTGATCTGGCCCTAGGGCCGTGCATCCCGAGAAACTCTGCGCAGCTTGCCGAAGAGCGGCAATGCTCAAGGGAAGCATGCGTGGACCAGCCTGACATATGCCGTGCATCTCAGCGATGAGGTCACCATCATCATCTGCATGAATGCTCTGGGCGAGGAAAGGAGGTTCGTCGTCACACCCATCCCACACGTCCTTCCATGACTGTCGTTGGACCAGACATATATCCTCGGAGGCACTAGACGGGCCCAACGTGGTATCAACCTGGGAAATCGTCCATCCACGAGGTTTGGACCAACGATGTATGGGACCTGATCATGCTCCTGCCCTGGTTCGTTCCACGGGCAGCCTCACGGTTGCAGACCACGGGTGCCTAGAGTCCCGCGGCAGCGTCCGACTGACCCCTCCTCCTCCTCCCCCTCTTCCTCGTTCTCCTCCTTTTCTTCCTCCTCCTCCTCCTCCTCCTCCTCCTCCTCATCCTCCTCCTCCCTCCTCCCTGCATTTCACCCACCCAATACAGCGTTTCGTGGCCCCATAGGGAGCTCCGCCGAAAGCCCCAGAGGCAGGTTTCGCATGGCGGCCTCGGGCCATTTCGGCACACCCCTCACGAGGATCGTGGCCCCATAGGGAGCTCCACCGAAAGTCCCAAAATGGCAAGGTTCGCATGGCGGCCTCGGGCCAGTTCGGCACACCCCTCACAAGGATCGTGTCCACATAGGGAGCCCCACCGAAGGCGCCGGTGGCAGGGTTCGCATGGCGGCCTCGGGCCATTTCGGCACACTCCTCACGAGGATCGTGGCCCCGTGGGGAACTCCAGCGCAGGCGCCATCGGCAGGGTTCGCATGGCGGCCTCGGGCCATTTCGGCACACCCCTCACGAGGATCGTGGCCACATAGGGAGCTCCACCGAAGGCGCCAGTGGCAGGGTTCGCATGGCGGCCTCGGGCAATTTCGGCACACCCCTCACAAGGACCGTGGCCCCATAGGGACCTCCTCCGAAAGTCCCAGTGGCAGGGTTCGCATGGCGGCCTCGGGCCATGTCGGCATACCCTTCACGAGGATCGTGGCCCCGTGGGGAACTCCACCGCAGGCGCCAGTGGCAGGGTTTCATGGCGGCCTCGGGCCATTTCGGCACACCCCTCACGAGGATCGTGGCCACATAGGGAGCTTCATCGAAGGCGCCAGTGGCAGGGTTCGCATGGCGGCCTCGGGCCATTGCGGCACACCCCTCACGAGGATCGTGGCCCCATAGGGAGCTCCTCCGAAAGTCCCAGAATGGCAGGGTTCGCATGGCGGCCTCGGGCCATTTCGGCACACCCCTCACGAGGATCGTGGCCACATAGGGAACCCCACCGAAGGCGCCGGTGGCAGGGTTCGCATGGCGGCCTCGGGCCATTTCGGCACACTCCTCACGAGGATCGTGGCCCCATGGGGAACTCCACTGAAGGCGCCAGTGGCAGGGTTCGCATGGCGGCCTCGGGCCACGTCGGCATACCCTTCACGAGGATCGTGGCCCCGTAGGGAGCTCCACCGAAGGCGCCAGTGGCAGGGTTCGCATGGCGGCCTCGGTCCATTTCGGCGCACCCCTCACGAGGATCGTGGCCCCACAGGAGCTCCACCGAAGGCGCCAGTGGCAGGGTTCGCATGGCGGCCCCGGGCCATTGCGGCACACCCCTCACGAGGATCGTGGCCCCATAGTTGTGCTGCTTCAACAACCGCGTCTGGGCGTCGTTCTCCGCCTTGTCGACGTGCAACGCTACCTCCCCACTCGAGGCTCTCAGAGCCCTCTCCTGCTTCTGCTCCTCGGTAAGGGGGGCGCCGTCCTCGTCGTCGTCGGCGCCCGCGACGACGGCCGCGAACGCGTTCCTGAGCATGTCGGGCTCTGACGGGAAGCCGTGGCCACATAGGGGGCGCGGGCGAAGACGGTATTCACAATTAGGGCATTCACAACTGCATGTGGTTGGGTCCTTCGCCAAGCTAATTTTTCGGGTTTTTTGTTTCTCCCCCCCGCTGCCCATAGTTTCCAAAATTTTCCTGGGGAGTCGACGATGAATTGTGTCTGTGTGTTTTTCTTTCCGCAGAGAAAGAGCGAGAGGGGCGGCTCCAGCCGCGAGAAAGGCCGGCAAAAGGAAGGGGGCGCCGAACCCAAGGGAAGCGGAGGGCGGCGCACTCGGGCCGTGGAGGCCTTCGCGCGCCGTCGGGCTCCTGGTAGAAGTGGATGGGGCCCTTTCGGCAAACCCTTCGCGAGGATCGTGGCCCCGTAGGGAGCTCCACCGAAGGCGCCAGTGGCAGGGTTCGCATGTCGCGAGGATCGTGACCCCATTGGGGGCTCCACCGAAAGCCCCAGTGGCACGGTTCGATTGGTGGCCTCGGGCCATGTCGGCACTGCCTCGCGAGGATCGTGGATCTATAAGGAGCTCCGCCGAAGGCGCCGGCGGCAGAATTCGCATGGCGGCCTCGGGCCATTTCGGCACACCCCTTCACGAGGATCGTGGCCCAGTGGGGGCCCCACCGAAGGCCCCCAGTGGCAGGGTTCGCTTGGCGGCCTCGGGCCATTTCGGAACACCCCCTCAAGGGATTGTGGCGCCATAGGGAACTCCACCGAAGGCGCCAGTGGTGGGATTCGCATGGCGGCCTCGGGTCATTTCGGCGCGCCCCTCAAAGGATCGTGGCCCCATAAAGAGCTCCACCGAAGGCTCCGCTGGCAGGGTTCGCATGGCGGCCTCGGGCCATTTCGGCGCACCCCTCGCGAGGATCGTGGCCCCATAGGGAGCCCCGCCGAAAGTCCCAGTGGCAGGGTTCGCGTGGCGGCCTCGGGCCATTTCGGCACACCCCTCACGAGGATGGCGGCCTCGGGCCGCCTCGGCGCACCCCTCACGAGGATCGTGGCCCCACAGGAGCTCCACCGAAGGCGCCAGTGGCAGGGATTGCATGGCGGCCTCGGGCCAGTTCGGCGCACCCCTCACGAGGATCGTGGCCCCACAGGAGCTCCGCCGAATGCGCCCAGTGACAGGGTTCGCGTGGCGGCCTCGGGTCATTTCGGCACACCCCTCACGAGGATCGTGGCCCCGTGGGGAACTCCACTGAAGGCGCCAGTGGCAGGGTTCGCGTGGCGGCCTCGGGCCACGTCGGCGCACCCCTCGCGAGGATCGTGGCCCCGTAGGGGGCTCCGCCGAGGGCGACAGTGGCAGGGTTCGCATGGCGGCCTCGGGCCGCCTCGGCGCGCCCCCAACGAGGATCGTGGCCCCATAGGAGCTCCGCCGAAGGCGCCAGTGGCAGGGTTCGCATGGCGGCCCCGGGCCATTGCGGCACATCCCTCACGAGGATCGTGGCCCCATAGTTGTGCTGCTTCAACGACCGCGCCTTGGCGTCGTTCTCCGCCTTGTCGACGTGCAACGCTACCTCCCCCCTCAAGGCTCTCAGAGCCCTCTCCTGCTTCTGCTCCTCGGTAAGGGGGGCGCCGTCCTCGTCGTCGTCGGCGCCCGCGACGGCGGCCGCGAACGCGTTTCTGAGCGTGTCGGGCTCTGACGGGGAGCCGTGGCCACATAGGGAGCTCCGTCGAAGGCGCCCAATGGCAGGGTTCGCATGGCGGCCTCGGGCCATTTCGGCACACCCTTCGCGAGGATCGTGGCCCCATGGGGAACTCCACCGAAGGCGCCAAATGGCAGGGTTCGCGTGGCGGCCTCGGGCCAGTTCGGCACACCCCTCACGAGAATCGTGGCCACATAGGGAGCCCCGCCGAAGGCGCCGGTGGCAAGGTTCGCATGGCGGCCTCGGGCCACGTCGGCGCACCCCTCACGAGGATCGTGGCCCCACAGGAGCTCCACCGAAGGCGCCAGTGGCAGGGTTCGCATGGCGGCCTTGGGCCGCCTCGGCGCACCCCTCACGAGGATCGTGGCCCCACAGGAGCTCCACCGAAGGCGCCAGTGGCAGGGTTCGCATGGCGGCCCCGGGCCATTGCGGCACACCTCACGAGGATCGTGGCCCCATAGTTGTGCTGCTTCAACAGTCGCGCCTGGGCGTCGTTCTCCGCCTTGTCGACGTGCAGCGCTACCTCCCCCCTCAAGGCTCTCAGAACCCTCTCCTGCTTCTGCTCCTCGGTAAGGGAGGCGCCGTCCTCGTCGTCGTCGGCGCCCGCGAAGACGGCCACGAACGTGTCCCTGAGCATGTCGGGCTCCGACGGGAAGCCGTGGCCACATAAGGAGCGCAGGCGAAGATGGTATTCACGATTTCGGTATTCGCAACTGCGTATGGTTGGATTCTTCGCCAGGCTAATTTTTTCTCCCGTCGATTCGCCAGGCGTCTCCGCGGGGTCTCCGGTCGAGTCCGCTCAAGCGCACCAGAACTAATGGCCAATGGGCTCCCTCCCGCCGCACGATGCACAATGAAGGGGGCCCAGGGACAACGAAAGGGGCCCACGGACACACAAACCAACAGGCACAAACAACCAGGAGTCCCCGTATCCTTTTCCGTGCTTTCTGGGGGTGTGCGTCTTCCCCTCCCCTTCCAAGCTTTCCCCATATTTTTTCCGAGGCATCGGCGCTTCTCTCTGTGTTTGTGTGTCTGTGTGTGTGCTTTTCCCCTCCTGGCACAGGACCGCCCAAAGCGCAAATCACGGGAAGCTGCTGCTCTTCCAGGGGCCACGAGCCCTACCCCAAACGCGGCCTAACTAAATGAGGGGGTCGAGCAGTGGACGCGTGCCCCTCCCAAGGCCGGACCCGGAGGGACCCCGGGCCCACCTCGCGGGGCAGAGAGGCGTCTGCGGGCGCACGCCAGGATCCCAGCCCTGGCTCTGCCTGCTGCACAGGTGCCCCTCCGCCCCTCGCTCGCTCGCTCGCTCGCTCTCTCTCTCTCTCTCTCTCTCTACCGCACTCGCTCGCTTGCTCGCCTGCTGCAGCTGCCCCTCTCCATGCCTCGCCCTCTCTCCCGCACTCCGTTCGCTCGCTCTCGCTCTCTCTCTCTCTCTCTCTCGGCCCTTCCATCGATCGTAAGACGAAGGGGTCGAGCCGTGCGGCGGGGCTCCTTCTGGAACTCCTCCTGGAACAGCCTCGAGTACAGCATGGAGAGCCTCCCCGGGGCGGGCGAGCGGAGGCGGGTGCGAGCCCGACCGCCGCCGCGCGAAAGCGGCGCGGGCACGGGGGCGGCCGACGGGACGGCGCGCGGGGAGCTGCCGCTGCGATCTCCGTCCTCCTGCTCCTCCCTGCCCTCGCCCGGTGCTGGGGTGTCCGTTAACACTGGGGCATTCTGAGTACTCTGGGCTTCTTAACAAGCGTGGTGGGGTACCCCTCCGGCGGGGGTCAACCTCGCCTCGTCGTCGCGCCGCGACGGGGGCCGGAGCGCCTTCGGCGCGCGGTGGCTGCCCGCGACGGGGGTCGATGTGGGCCTGTCGGCGGGGGTGGCGCCCCCCCCCCCGACGCTTATTAAGAAACTCGGATGACTACTCTCTTCTCTCCCGTGAGTTCGTCAGGAATATATCCGGTTCTCACCGCAGGCTTGGACAAAGGTGACATTGCTTTCCGTCTCGAGCTCCGGGTCGGCGATAGCACGCGTCCGCGGCTACAGAAAGCATCAGCGCAATGGGGAGGGATGGGGGGGAAGGATGGTATGCCAGATGTGGCGCGAGCGTGCTTAGCTTGCGAACGACCTCTCGCTCCGCCCTGTCCTCGGCCTCCTCCACTCTTTGGTGTCACCTCGCTGCTGTGTCCAACGCGGGGGGTGGCGCGGGGGAGGGGGCGACAGGAGGACATTGATGAGAACATAAGCGACTGAACGAACAGTGTAGACAAGCTGGGGGTCGCCCACACACGCACGCACACACTTCAAATGCCTTTGGGAAAACTGAGTTCCGTACGTGTTGCTGGTCGTCCACCGTCCCAATGCGGGGTCGAGGTCACTCCACGCACACTCGTCTGAACAGGCACGGGGGGCGTAACCTCTTCGAGTGAGTAATGAATGCTATGGGCGCCGTTCCTCCGCCTCTGATCGCCATCTCCCATTCGTGGTGCCCCGCGTCGATGTGTATCCATTGCCGTAACACCGGCCTTCTTCGGCATCGTGTCAGCACTGCCACCTTCAAGCCCTGCACAAAAGCAAGCCCTGTCAGGGCTGCGCTCCCTGACGCCCGGTGCTTCCTGCCGCCCACCTTCCCACCCCAGCTTCCACACACTCTGGCCTCCCCTGTTGGAGCTTTTCCATCCTGCCTGCTCTGGGCACGGCTCGTACCACGCCGGCTGCCGTGCCCCGAGCGCAACAGCTGAGGTCGTGCACCTCGCATCATCCGTCGCCTGTCGTTTTCCTAACCCCTGCCTGTCCTAGAAAAAGAAAACCACATAAACATAAACTTTTGGCGCTGCACGCGGATTTCTAGGATCCGCGCAGGACCCCCCTCCCTGGCGCGCCTCCTGCGCCAGGGGCGGCGCCGGAGGCGCCGCTGGGGGGTGCCCAGCGCTGATCCAAGAAACCCGCGCGGAGCGCCAAACATTTATGTCAATGTTTTTTTTCTTCTTCGATGCCCGCCCCCTTTCCTTCGCCCCTCCTCTTGCCTCTGAGCCTCCAGTGGCCGCCGTGTGATATCTTCTGGCCTCTGCCCAATTTGCAGCAAGTCGTGAGTGAGAGAGTCGTGTTCGGCAACCACGCCGCCCACTCTCCTCCTCCTCCTCTTCCTCCTCCTCCTCCTCCATCCGCCTCCTCCTTATCCTCCCCCTCCTCCTCCTCCTCTTCCTCCTCCCTCCTCCCTCCCCTCCTCCTCCTCCTTGTCCTCCTCCTCCTCCTCCTTATCCTCATCTTCCTCCTCCTCCTCCTCCTTATCCTCCTCCTCCTCCTTGTCCTCCTCCTCCTCCTCCTTATCCTCCTCCTCCTCCCCCTTCCTGTCGTCCTTCACCCGCGTTCTGTGTGCGATATCGTTGGCCATTCTGGTGCAGGGGGATGGGGTTAAATAGCAGTGCTCTCGCTTTCGTGCAGGTCACGGTCTTCTGCTGGAGTTTGCCCATCGCAAGTCGGTTCATCAGGCCCTCCTGGTTCCCCTGGCGACCTTTCGATTTGCCTTGTAGCTGCCATTGTTGTCTCGAGCAGGGATGGTCGCCCTCCGTTCCCATCCTTCTCATCCTCCTCCTCCTCCTCCTCCTCCTCCTCTTCCTCCTCCTCCTCCTCCTCCCTACTCCTCTTGCTCCTCCTCCTCCTTCTCCTCCTCCTCCTCCTCCTCTTGCTCCTCCTCCCCATCATCCATCGACTGTGCGGCCTTTGCTGGTCCACCTGAGCCAAAACTCCGCAGGGCATTTTACGAGGCATCTGGGCATCTACACTTGAAAAGTCATGCCGCGAGACAGTTAGGCCTGATACTTCAAATTCCCCTCATTGGCCACGCAAGCTCAACTGGTGAACATGCGGCAGCCGCCCATCCGGTCTGCCGCGGCGCCCTGCGCTCTGGTGCCAGGGCCGCTTCTTGCAGCAGCACCCCCTCCGAGCAGCAAGCGGGGAGGGGCTCTGTTGGGCGCTGTCCCCTTCTGGTTCTTGTCTTCGTCTGTCCCCTCGTCCTCCTCGACTCTCTTCCTCGCCCACACCCTCCAGCTGTCCCTGCCGCCCCCCCCAGACAACGGCGCCTCGTTCTCTCCGAGCCGCGGGCCCCCGACCTCTCGTCCCCTTCCCCCTGGACGGGTTTCCCATCTCGAGCAGCTTCGTTGACGGCCCCGAGGCCAGGTGGCGGCTCCCGGAGGCCGCAAACGATGAGAAGCCTCATCGTCTGCGGCGCCTCGAAAAACATCGCGACGCCGGACGTCCGGGGCTCCCGTGCCCCCTGCTTGCCATCGCTCGGACGTCCATCTCCGGTGCCTTCTTCGGATTCGTGCGTGTTTTCTTTCGCTCGATGGTCCAGGATCGGGTCGGGCGAAAGGGGGGGATAGCAAAGGGGGGGTTTGAGAATCAGCTCACGTAGCTGATTTTCCCGGCGCCTCCCGGCGCCGGAGGCGGCTATGTATCGAGGAATGGGCCCCTCGGTGAGGCCGAAACCAGCTGCATGCAGCAAATTTCGTAACCCCCCCTTTCCCAATCCCCCCCTTTCGCCCGACCCGACAGGATGCTCCTCGATGGCCCTCGCCGAGAGAAAATTGCACACGTCCGAGCGATGCCAAGCCCGCGTGCTCCTCCTTGGCAGGGGGCCTGGCCACGGCCGGCGTGGGCGGCGTCGGCTCGCTCGGGCCTCGGCTTTCCCCGGGTGCGGGGGCGGCCTCTGAGGGGTGATGTCCCGCGGGCGGAATCGCAAGCAAAAAACGAAGGATTGCAAAAAAACCCAGGATTGCAAAAAAAACCCAGGTTTTTTTTTTTGTTGCAATCCCAGTTTTTTTTTGCAATCCTTCGGTTTTTTTTGCAATCCTGGGTTTTTTTGCAATCCTTCGTTCAAGTTGGGGGAGGGAGGGGGGGCGAGAGGGGTCTGGGCAAGCACGGTGCGCTCGCACCATACCTGACATCCTACCCCTCCTACCAATCCCTTCGCGTGGCGCCGATCTCTCTCTCGGTGTCCGCCGACGGGTGTCACAGCGGGGACCTGGACCCCCCTAAAGGACCCCTATCGTCTTACATGATGGCTGCTGCTGATGCTGGTGATGGTGATCATGATGATGATGCTGCTGCTGCTGATGATGCTGATGATGCTGATAATGATGATTATGCTGACGATGACGGTTATGATAATCATGAGGATGCTGGTGCTGCTGCTGCTACTGATGATGCTCCTGATGATGATGATGATGATGATGATGATGATGATGATGGCAATGATTATGATGCTGATGATGATGACGAGGATGAGGATGAGGAAGAGGATGAGGATGAGGATGAGGATGATGGTGGTGCTACTGATGATGATGCTGATGAATATGGTGATTGTGATTACGATTGTGATGCTGATGGTGATGATGGTGGCGACGATGCTGCTGCTGATGATCATGATGATCATGATGATGATGATGCTGCTGCTGATGATGATGATGATAATGATGATGATGATGATGATGATGATGATGATGATGCTGATGATGATAAGGAAGATGATGCTGCTGCTGATGATGAGGAGGAGGATGAGGAGGGTATCTCGTATTGCCCTTCGAGTGTTCGACACGGCCGTGTGCGTCATCGTTTTTCAGTAAATGACTGGAAGAGCTGTCGCGAGGCGCTCAAGAAGATTCCCCCAGCATGGGCCTTCATTGCGATCAAATCTGCGATGTGTGTGTGTGTGTGTGTAGACGACGGACGTGAGGATGCAATGCGAGGCCTGCGGTGTTTCGGGGTGCCCTGGTGAGCCCGATAAGCTCAAACATTACTTACAACACCCTCGCCTTCTGTACTAGGCCTCCCGTGTCTTGGTGTCACCAAATCGCCTTTGTCGTTTCATTCTATCATTTCTATCGCCGCGCCTCCCGCGCTGCATCCGCTCAGGGTCGTCCCATCTCTTTGAGCGGGGCCAGTGCGCTGGCGGAAGACGCCAAGGTTGCAATTCGCCTTCCCACTCGGCGCCGTCAACGAGAACTGTTCTCGCATCATGCGGTGCAAGAGGCGGTGATAGCCGCCCGCCAGGCAGGACCGCCCCCTGCTGCCGCTGCTCCTGTGCCCCCCCCCCGCCTTTCTTTGTGCGGGGCAGCAGAGGCAGCAGTTCCTGTAGTAGCAGTTCTCAAAGTGGTAGCAGCAGTTAGTCGAGGACGTATGAGGATGGTGAGGAGGAGGAAGAGGAGGACGAGGAGGAGGAAGAGGAGGAAATGGGTAGAGGAGGGAGACGCGAGGCGAAGGGCGGGATGAGCGGGAGAGGGGAGGTTGAGAGGCTGAGAGAGGACTCCAACATGGTAAGGCTGGAACACGGCTTCTCGAGATCGCTTTGACCTCCTGGATGCTCGTTGGTAGTCTGTTGATCTGACAATTTCTGAGGGTCGCTTTGAGGTGTTATGGCAAGTTGTGTGGGGTTTGGAGAAGGTTGGGGTCGCCAGGGGAAACATCTTCAACAGACAAAAACGCAACTGGACCTGAACACACTCAGGGGTCATTCAGGCCGTCAATAACAGCTGCTTTCGTAATAATTGCCCGACAGTGCCGACGCATTCAATCGCTCAGGCACTGGCAACCATCGAGCAAGCGTCGTCGGGCACGCGCCTGAAGCAGGAGGTCTCCCCGCCGCTAGCTGGAGGCCTGGAAATTGGCACGAATTGCCTCCACAGGGAGAAGATGATCCTAGATTTCGGTGTTGGTGGCAATATTTCGGTCATCTTGGAAGCCAGAATATTACCACCATCGCCGAGATCGGGATCGTCTTCCCTCGGTGTAGGCACACCGCCGATCTTGGTGTTGGTGTCAACCTCTAGGTTTGCGAGCTAGCATGAGAGCCCAGAATCTAGTCGATCAGCCGAATCGGCGATCGACATTCATCGGATCGGCAGAAGTCGGCAGCCACGTCGGTCGGGAGGAGCCGGACCTGCCGACATCGGCAGAGTAGCGAGGCCTCATTGAGGACTCGGAGCCCAGATCGGAATCCCAAGTCGAACCGAATCGGAATCGAAATCCAGCGAAATCCATCGAAATCCATCGGAATCGAAATCCAGCGAAATCCATCGAGATCGAATCGAATCAGAGACCTCGAAACGAGCCCCGGGCTAGGGCCAGGACTCACGGGCGTGAGGGGCACCCCGGGCGCGATGGCCACGCCGCCGGCGACGTCGCCCAGCGCCCCGCCGTGCGCCGGCGGGCCTGCGTCCCCGCTGGCGTTCGGACGGGCCTGCCCCCCTGCAGGGGGATTTTGGGCAACAGATTCATAAAAGACTCAAAGAATATTCCAATCATGCTCCAAGACAGACAAGAATTCGTCCCCGGTCTACTTTTGGACTCTTCTGGAATGTTCCTCCTGTCCAGGGACCGGCCCGACTGAACGCTGGCGGAGCGGAGGGCACGGGCGCGGCATCCCCAGTGTGCCGCGGTGTGGTTGTGCATAGGAACGCGCCATATCCCAGTGCGTTGGCCCAGTCTGCGACCACCAGCTCGAGCTCTAAACCGCACCGACCTGCCCAGCCTGCTCTGGAGTCTGGAATTCTTCGACGCTGGCAGCGGTGATGATGTAGTCGGGCAACAACTTTTCTACAGCCTCGAGGGGTCGAGGGGGGCTCGCCGGCGCTCGAGGGTCGAGGGGGGGGGGGCCCGTCGAGGGCCCGAGGGGCCCCGAGCCTGCCTCGAGGGTCGATGGGGGGGGCCCGTCGGGGGGTCGAGGGGGGCCCCTCGGCGCCTCGAGGGTCGATGGGGGGGGGCCCGTCGGGGCCTCGAGCCTTCGGGGGGCCTCGAGGGTCGAGGGGAGCCCCCCGAGGCTCCTTCGAGCACCTCTGGCGCCCGTCGGTCCTCAGAGGGGGGGGGGGGCCTCCAGAGGCCTTCGGGCGGCCTCGAGGGTCGATGGGGGCCCGTCGGGGCTCTTTCGAGCACCTCTGGCGCTCGTCGGTCCTCAGGGGGGGCCGTGGACTCAAAGTATGGATCTATTTGACGACTCTGGTTTCTTGCGTTTTTCCGTGCAACAAAGCAGACGTATGCGATCAGGGGGGGGGCTCCAGAGGCCTTCGGTGAAGTCGGGCGTGCCCCCCTGCAGGCGGATTTTGGACGAGAACTAAAACATAGCTCCGAAGACTACTCTTTGCATTTTTTGGAATGGTCCTCCTGTCGAGGGGGCAGGCCCGACCTAAGCCTTCGGGGGGGCCCTCGGCGGGCGCGGGGCGTGCCGGGCGCGACAAGCCCCCCGGTGCTGCTCGGAGGCTCGCGCCGCTCGCAACCACCACCGCGCTGCCTCGCGTCACCCGCTCAATTGGCACTGCAGCCACGCCCAATTCTGATCCTGTCCTTCTCCTCCTGCTCCTGCTCCTGCTCCTGCTCCTGCTCCTGCTCCTCCTCCTCGTCCTCCTCCTCCTCCTCCTCCTCCTCCTCCTCCTCCTCCTCCTCCTCCCCCCCCGCCGCCGCCGCCGCCGCTGCCGCCGCCGTCTCCTCCTCCACCTCCTCCTGATACGCCTCCTCCAGCTCCTGCTTTTTGTGCGATGCGGTCTGGATCGGGTTGCCTTAGACACGGGTCCTCCTCCTCCCCTGCCGCCGCCGTCTCCTCCTCCTCCTCCTCCTCCTCCTCCTCCTCCTGATGCGCCTCCTCGAGCTCCCGTTTTTTGTGCGATGCGCCCCGGATCGGGCTGCCATAGGTATGCTGCGGTCAGTTCCGAGCAGAAAGCTGACCTCGCGGCGCATACCCCACGTCTGTCGGGATCCCCTTGTCTGCTCCAGTCGTACCACCTAAGGACGACTGCAACGGCAACTTAGTGCTTGCCAGCAACAGCACCGTCATAGTGGATCTGGAGAGCAGCTCCTTGCTCAAACTAATGTGCAACTGTGTTCAAATCCCGACTGCTTAGATCCCGTCCCTGAGGAGGAGGAGAAGGAGGAGGAGGAGGAGGAGGAATTGCACACCCGACTTACATCCGCGCGAACGCCAATCGATGCACGGAACGTAGCCGCCCGTGCAGTCGTGAAGCCTCGTGTGCGCCCTATGCGCGTCGGCTCGCATCACTCCGATGTCGTCCTCGTGCGCAAGGTTGCGAATGCGGACGTCCAGACTCCTAAGCTGCGCGACGCCCAGGCTATCGAGAACAAACAACTCGAGCTGGGTCCTTCGCGGGACCAAAGCTCCCCCCACGGATCCCTTTCAGACACCGTGGCTACATTAGGGGTGCGCAGTCGAGCTCGTGGGAGCACTCCTGTCGAGCACAGGCGTCGTCCCCTCTCGGGTGCTCTGGAGAGCCAACGGCTCTGGGCGGCACTGGCAGCCAGAACGGCCCTGCGTGCGGCTGTGACGAGAGCCTTGCGCTGGGACTTCCACTCGGCAGCGCCCGCGCAAGCGCGCAGATGCATCCCCCAGTCTTCGGCCCAAGCCGTAACAAGCAACGGCGACAACTGCACCTGGGGTCCTCTTCGTTCGTGGATTCGTGGTTCCATCTTCTTCTTTTCTTTAACTTTCGCTGTAGGAACCTCATTAGTACACTCCCGAAAACCAAGATCGTGCTCCATCCGGATGACCGCCAGCCGACGCACACACACACAGACACACACACACACGCAGACACAGACACAGACACAGACACACAGACACACAAACACACAGACACACAGACACAGAGACACAGAGACACAGAGACACAGAGACACAGAGACACAGAGACACAGAGACACAGAGACACAGAGACACAGAGACACAGAGACACAGAGACACAGAGACACAGAGACAAAGAGACACAGAGACACACACAGACACACGCAGACACACACAGAGACACAGAGACACACACAGACACACAAAGACACACAGAGACACACAGAGACACACACAGACACACAGACACACAGACACACAGACACACAGACACACACACAGACACACACAGACACACACACACAGACACACACACAGACAGACACACACACAGACACACACACAGACACACACACACACGGACACACACAGACACACACAGACACACACACAGACACACACACAGACACACACAGACACACACACACAAGACACACACACAGACACACACACACAGACACACACACACAGACACACACACAGACACACACACACACACAGACACACACACAGACACACACAGACACAGACACACACAGACACAGACAGACACACACACACAGACACACACACAGACACACACAGACACACACACAGACACACACAGAGACACACACACAGACACACACACAGACACACACACACAGACACACACACACAGACACACACACAGACACACACACAGACACACACACACACAGACACACACACAGACACACAGACACAGACACAGGCACAGACACAGGCACAGACACAGGCACAGGCACAGGCACAGGCACAGGCACAGGCACAGGCACAGACACAGACACAGACACAGACAGCGCTGGCGGTGCGGCCTCCTCCTCGACAGAGGCGCCTGCTGCGGCTGGAGGCGCCGCGGCGGGAGCGGGATCGCGGCAGGCCTGGCTGGAAGCCTACGGCCTCGATGAGGAGAGCCTGCGGAGCTGGGCTGAGGAGGCCGAGGAGGCCCGACTCGAGCGCCAGAGCAGGAAGCGGCGCAGAGATGACGGAGAAGGAGGTGATTGAGTCCGCGCTGGCCCCAGCCTTGGGGCGCTCGGACCGCGCGAACGCGCGTGTGCCGAGCCTTGGCTGCTCCTGGCTGTGGAGCGCCAGCCTGCCTCTCCTCCTGTCCTCCCTCGGCGTCCGTCTCCTGTCCTCCCGTGCGTGTTGGACCCCTGGTGGCCGCGGGCCTCGGCGCGTGGGCGTGAAGCTTCCTGCGCCTCGCCTGCCTCGCCGTGCCGCTTGGGGCTGTGCAAGCATGTTTGGGGCGTCGCCCTTCGTTTGTCTGCACGGGTGTATATATTCCAGCGCTGCGCGCTGATGCCCCTCGACGGGGGTCTGAGCTGACAGGCCGAGCGGTGCCTCGGGGCCGATGTGCCCTGGAGGCAGCCTTCTGCGGCTCGTCTGGGCTCTCGGGGTCCCTTGTGGCCCGCCCCCTGTCTTGGGACGGCCCCTTGTGGCTTTGGCCCCTCAGTGGGGCCTGGGCCCTTTGTGGGCTCCTTTTTAGCCTTTATAGGCCCCGCGTCAACAGACACAGACACAGACACAGACACAGACACAGACACAGACACAGACACAGACACAGACACAGACACAGACACAGACACAGGCACAGGCACAGGCACAGGCACAGGCACCGGCACAGGCACAGGCACAGGCACAGGCACAGGCACAGACACAGACACAGACACAGACACAGACACAGACTCAGGCACAGACACAGACACAGACACAGACACAGACACAGACACAGACACAGACACAGACACAGACACAGACACAGACACAGACACAGACACACACACACACACGCACACACAAACACACACACACAGCTCTCACACGCCAGATGAGGATGAGCACGCGTCAAATAGTGGCCACGTGCGCTTGCTTGTGGGGCCAAGCTGCGATTAGGAAGGATCGCCAGGCCAAGAACGACATCCCTTTCCGGATCCAGAATTAAGTCGGGCATGTCCCCCTACAGGCGGATTTTGGACGAAAAGCTGAAAAGACGCAAACAAATACCCCCAAATGGTCAACGAAATGCTCAACAATCGTCCGCAGGGCTATTTTTGTGGACTATTTCTGGGTACTCCTCCTGCAGAGGGGCAGGCCCGACTGAAGTCCAAAGCCCCCCGGGGGTGCTCGAGGAGCGGCAAAGGACCAACCCCGTGGAAGGACCGAAGGAGCAGCGAGCCCCGCCGGAACCCGACCTGTCCCTGGTTTGAACGTCTTGGCTTATGATGCTCCAACCTACTTCAGCCTTGAGCACCAGGAAGAATTTGGAGCACCAACAAAGTACCCAAACTCGAGGGTTTTCACATGTCGGGCCCTGGGAGACACTCGTCCGACACTGTTTCGGCACTGTTTCGACACTTTTCCGGGTGCTCGAAATTACTTCTGGGATGTAGTCCTTAAGTGCGATGGGAGCAACATAAGTCTTGGCTGTGTTGTGAAGTCCAGAACACCAGAGCTTCGTCGGCGCGAACATACCGGCGGTTGCTAAAAGTGCCCCTGGCCCAAGGTACCCTCGAGCGTTTCGCTCTATTTTGGAGCCCCCTGGGGCCCTCGGGGCCTCGCGAGGGGTGCCCTGGAGGCCGTCTGGGCCACCCTGAGAGTCCTGGGGGTACCTTGGGCCAGGGGTACTTCTAGCAACACCCGAACATACTCGGGCGGCCCAAAGATTACCGGAGAGGCACGTGTCTCGACGTCGCGCGAGCAGTGGCAAGCAGCGACACTGAAACGCCGCAGCCGCCGCAGCCGCCGCAGCCGCGCAAAAGCCGCGCGTCCAGGCACCGGGCGGGGCGCTGCAGATGCTGCGCGCGTCCCTGGTCGCTCGGCGCCGGCCGTGTGCGAGGGGCGGCTCGGAGGAGGCCGCGCTGGGGCGTGGCTTCATGGGGGGGTCATAAACGGGGGGGTCAGAAAAGGTCCCCTTTCGTGCCCCTCCAGAGCCCCAGGGGGCTCGTTTAGGTACCGTTTGGGTACCTTTTCGAACCACCCTTGCCCCCCCCCCATTTGTGACCCCTCCATTACGCGGCGCCCAACGCGCTCCGCGCGCAAGGCTCCGGGCACCGACGACGCATGCCGGCGTGCAGGGCGGGCAGGGGCAGGGCGGCCACCGTGCTGCCCCCGCAGGAGGGCCGCACGGGGGGGACGGATGGGGGCTCTGCCGGCCACGGCGGGCCTCGGCCACGCAGAGGCTCCCCGGCGAGGATCCCAGAGGAGCAGCCCCGCAACCGGAGGAGGAGGAGGAGGAGGAGGAGGAGGAGGAGGAGGAGGAGGAGGAGGAGGATCCTTGAGCCCACCAAGGTGGTCCTTCTCTCAGCGTCTGGACTCTTAGAGCCGCTGCGCTGCGGGGTCGGCGCGAGGGCTTTCAACCTGGCGCTCACGGACGCCCTGCCTCGAAGGTGGGCGGCCGTGCTCGCAGGAGGCACCGCGGCCTGCTGCGCCTGCTCCTGTCAGCGAAGGCTACCCCGAAACAATCCCAACTAAACCGACACGTTTAATCTTTTCGGCAAGCAAGGAAGCCCCTAACGCAGTTCTGCGGGGAGGCCACTTCGCTGAAAGCGCCTCGGGTGCTCGGAGAGCGGCGGTGTTGCAATGCTCCCAGAAAAATGCTTGCCCTAACCATACTCGTTTGTTCGGTAATTGGGTATGGATCCTCTGGAGTTTCGCCTGGTGGGCCCACCCTCCCATGTCGGCGCACCCCTCACACGCTTCGTGGCCCCATAGGGAGCTCCACCGAGGGCCCCAGTGACAGTGCCCACATGCGGTTCCACCTCCAGTTTCGACCCCTAAAACGTATCGTGGCCCCATTGGAGGGCTCCACCGAAGGCGCCAGTGGCAGCTCTCGCATGCGGTTGTACCCCCTTTTTGGCGCACCTTCACACGCCCCGTGCCCCCTTAGCGAACACCAGCGAAGGCCTCAGCGGCAGCGCCCGCACGCCGCTCCTGCCTGACCTCGGCGCACCCCCCGCACGCCCCGCGGCCCCACAGGGAGTACCACCGAGGGCCCCAGCGGCAGCGCCCGCATGCGGCCCCACCCCGCACGTCGGCGCACCCCCCACACGCCTCGCGGCCCCACAACGAGCCCCACCGAAGGCCCCAGCGGTAGCGCCCGCACGCGGTTTCACCCCATCACCTCGGCGCGCCCTTCACACGCCATACGACACCCCACCGAAAGCCACAGCGCCAGCGCCCGCATGCGACTCCACCCCTGATTTCGGCGCACCCCCCACACGCACCGCGGCCCCACAAGGAACCCCACCGAAGGCCCCAGCGGCAGCGCCCGCACTCGGGCCCACCCACATTCTGACACACACCCCACCGAGGGCCACAGCGGCAGCGCCCGCACGCGGACCCACCCCGAACCTCGGCGCACCCCCCACACGTCCGGAACTCCCGAGCGGGAGCCTCGCCTGCGAGCGGACTGCGAGGAAGCCCAGGCGGGAGCCCCCATCCCATGGGGCCTGCAGCCCATGTTACTAAGCCACCGGAGCCCTGCAGCCGCCGTCACTTGTG